TAATTCAGTGCCCGGATTCGGTCCTTATCGCCCTCAGTATATTCATATAAAATCTGTGCCCACTATACGGTAGGTGCGCATTATCTGAGTAAAAACATAGTTTTGTGGTAAATATAGAAAGCGCACTATACGCCGGGGCGCACTATCTCACGTCAAACAGGGTAGATTATGATAAGTAAACAATAAAGTAAAATTTTATATAATATTTTATATAATTATGAGTATTTATTAAATATTAGCGATAATGTGAAGTAGGCTTTTGATAAAAATATACTTTATGCATACACAAACAATTTATTTTATAATCAATTATAAGAATTTTTACAAATATCCTATTGTTATCATAAGTAATTAAGTAATGTTTAGTATAAATTGACATAAAATTTAAAAAACCACTTAATACTTTAATTAAAATACCTTAATAATACTACAATAAAATGTCTTTGAAATATATAATTTTAATCGTAATTATCTACAGTATGTAAAAATAATAAAAACATTATTTACTTATTTTAACTATGTTAACTATTATCAAACCATATTTAATTCATGTTATATTTTATAAATCATAGGTACTTATTATGTTAACGCGGAATGTGACCCGGAATGGGATGATTATAATGGGAAAAGGTGTTTGAAACATTTCCCTGGTCATTTACTGAATTACCAAGCTGCGCTTGGTTACTGTAGTAAGCAGGGTGGCACTTTACTAACCATACACTCGCAAAAGGAGTAAGACTTTATGACCAACCTACTTTTCATGCAACATAAAATAGTGGACACCATATGGTTAAGTGCCCACGTTCAAATAAAGTAATCACCTGGGTTGATGGTTCAAAACTAGAGTATGCAAATTGGATAGAGGGAAAGCCTTCAAACATAACCGACGAATGCGTACAAATGAACCATGATGATCCCAATTTAGGTAAATGGTCAGATGAGCCATGCGCTAAAAGTAATCTAGTGGTTTGCCAAAAACTACAACCATGGTCATTGGATCATCATTGATAATCAGAAACGACTAGATGTTGTTGAAACCGGGGTTGTATCGATTGGCTTTATTTATGCACAGTTACCCGGGCAACCAGAGCCTAAAACAATATGGCCCAATGCAGTTTGGGAAAACATTACGCCTAATTATGCTGGCTTATTTTTTCGGGCTGAAGGTGGCAAAAGTGCAGTATTTGGGAAAGGTACACAAGCATAAAGTTGACCAAGATTAACAAATGTAGCAAATCATGCTGATAATAATAATCCTATTAATATTACACTTACGCCGGGTATAGAAAGTAAACATTTATGGACAGGCAGCCAGGCTGCTGGTACTGGTATTTCATTAAGTTTCATACTGTCTAATGATGAGGTACGCCCTCAAAATCAAGCCATACGTATTTGGAAACGTGTTAAATAAATTTTTACATTCAACAATTTAAATAATTTATATGAATATAAATTTTTATTTAATAAACTTAACAATAAAATTTAAGTATTATTAATTTTTAAAATTTTTTATTTTAATTAATAAGTTATCAATTAAATGTTGGTTAATAAGTTTATATCAATGTAATTTATATAAACATGTTGTGATATACACTATTCAATAAAATAAAATGCATACTAAAATATTTTTAGCATAAACAATATCAAAATAATAATGGATTGTATATCTATATTAACTTATTAACTGATTAACTGATTATTAACTATATATTATTTCTTTATTAAGTATTTTTCACAAATCCATTTATAACATGTATTAGTTAACATAAAATATAATAAATATAATCATTTTAACATTTATTATTCATTAAAAATTGTAATTTATGTTATACACTAGGAAAGTATGGAGTTTTAAACATAAAACATGATATATGGCTATCAAACAAATAGTATTTTAAAATTTAATAAGTTTGTGATTTAGAAATTGTATATGATTATACGAGAATGATTTACCAATTAATTTTTATAATTATTAAAAATTAGATAATTATTAAATAAAATCGTGAGAAATCAAATGAAATTTTAAAAATATAAATTTCGAAAATCCTTAAACACAAATACCACTATATTAAATAGTATAATTATTTTAATTGAATGATTATACGTCATATTAAAATAATGACAATATATAATTTCTAAAATTAATATTAGTAATGAATTCTATTTAAAATATATTGAGAGTGTTTAATACAGTATTATAAATTGAGATGTAAGCCTTTGTAAGTTACGTAAGTACCCAGCAAAAAATAACTATATGTATTAATAATACGGTTATAAGTGATATGAATGCATACATCAATGCCTAAGGCCTGCGACCAAAAGCCGTAGAAATAATAGTGATAAACGAGTAATCGTTGCCAAAAGTATGCAGCAGTTCTCGACTCCCGACCCACATTTTTAGGACACTCTCCACAAGGTCATGTGCTATTGGCACAAAACATACCCGGCGTCATATTATGGGACATATTGGTGGACATCAGACTCTGTATGACAATCCCTTTGCTTTTATATTCCTGGTGTAAACATCGGGACAAGTAGTCGATATATACTTTGGTGGCCGAGTAGATAGCCAGTAGGGGTATGGGATAGAGGGCCGACATGGATGATAGGTTAATGATAACTCCCCGGCCTTTGGCTACCATTCGGGGCAATACAAGTGCCGTGAGTCGCGTACAGGCTTTGATATTGACGTTAATTATGGATTCAATAAATTGCGATAAATTCGGGATTTCTGTGAAATATTCCGGTCTTTCCTTTGGGTAACAAATCGACACATTATTTACCAAAACATGTATTTCTTCATCCATTTCCTCCAATCTCTTAAACTCCTCTTCAATAGTGTCGTAGATATTG